TGAGAGAGTTAAATCTAGATGCAGCCATAGCTTTCACTTCATATAACCCAAGACTTTTTTGTAGAGCTTACTTGAATTATGAGATTAAGAGAGATGCAATAACATCTAACATGGCTGAAACATTCAACTGATCATACATTATTAATGCCAGAACCAAACATTTGATATATATGTTAGAGGACATTAGAGTGGCTTAGATGCAGAGGTTAGTGACTAAAAGACAAGAAATGCAGAAGTCAACCTCTATTCATTGTCCTAGAATCCATGCCATATTAGAAAAGGAAAAAATTTAAGGTTGCATTATGTGACACTACTAGAAAACACGCCAATTCCGACGAAAAATTTTCATCGGAAAAACCCTTAAATCCTTCGGAAAACACTATTTCGACGGAATTTCCGTCGGAACCGGTGGTCGTAAACACTTTTGTAGGAAAAACGACCTTTTTCGACGGAAATTCCGTCGAAACAGTGTTTTCCGACGGATTTCCGACGGAATTTTTTCGTCAGAGTTGGTATTCCGGCCACCGGAAAGTCCGTCGGAATATTCCGACGAAATACAAATCCGCTGGAATATTCCGACGGAATTTTCGTCGGAATATGCTGCAAAAAAAAATAAAAAAACACGCCCTGCCATCACCGACATGGCGTGTCACCACCTCAGAACACCAACCACCACCACCCTTACCCTAAACCCACCTAACCCAGACCCACCCTAACCCGCGCTAACCCGCATACCAACCCACCAAAACCTCCTTTTCTGACCCACAACACCACCAGCCCCAACCCAGACTAGACCCCTTATCCCACCCAGATCGACCCCTGTCCCCACCGCCACCCCCACCCACCAGAATCGTACCACCGTAACCCCACCCCACACCCTTAACCCCACCACCATAACCCCACTTCACCACCGTAACCCCTAACCCACCACGACCATCCTAACCCACCACGACCACCCCAACCCAGTAATAATTCGAAACAAAAAAACCCAGAAATAATTCGAAATAAAAAAAATCCAGAAATAGATCTTGCAAAAACCAGAAATTTCAACACAAAACCCAGAAATTCGAAACAAAAATGTAAAAAAAAAAAACGAAGTAATTCGTTCACTTACCTTGAATTCCATCAAAACCCCAAAATTGGCTTGAATTTGGGTTTCAAAGGTCAAATTCGACCATGAAAACTCTCGAGCTAGGGTTTTCATGGTCGAATTTGACATGAAAAACCTTATTTAGTTCTTTGGTGTTTCATGCGTAGAGTGTGAACAAAAATGAAGGAAGGAAGAGGAAGAGAAGAGGAGGAGGAAAGAGAAAATGAAGAAGAGGAGGAAAGAGAAGGAAAGAATACGAGAAGAGGAGGAAAGAGAAAAAGAAGAGGAGGAGGAGGAAAGAGAAGGAAAGAATACGGGTAGAGGAGGAGGAAAAAGAAAAACAAGAGGAGGAGGAAAGAGAAAAAGAGGAAAGAAGGGGCTCTGGGAAAAGAGAAGAGGAAAGAGATAAAGAAGAGGAAATTTCAAAATTCTATGCTGAACATGTTCCGACGAAACTCAATTCCGTCGAAATATTTCCGAGGAAATATTCCGTTGGAAGCTTTTAATTTTGACAGAATTAATTTTCGTCGGAATATTTTCGAGGGAATTTCCATCGGAAACGACATTTTTCCGAAGGAATATTCTGACGGATCCAAATTCGTCGGAAATTTTGAAATTTTCGACGGAATTTTAGGTCCGTCGGAACAATTCCGTTGGAAAACGGCCTATTTCTAGTAGTGTGATGTTTTACCTTCTACAGATATAGTGTTCAATGTGAAGCATTTCCTTGATCAACTCAAGGTAGATTTAGAGGCCAAAAAGTGCACATGTAGGAAATGGGACATGTTAGGGGTCCCATGTTGTCATGCCATAGCATGTATCTTCTTTAAGAACAAGGATGCTGAATCTTTTGTGGATGATTGTTATAAAAAGGATGTATACCTCAGGGTTTATGGTGGGTTTATCCCTCCATGTGAAGGAGAGAGGCATTAGCCTAAGGTACCCTGCAGCTTAGACCCCCTTGCCATCAAAATAGGTCCTGGCAGACCTAGAAAAAATAGGATCAAAGATCCTTATGAGAACCCAAAGAAGCCAGGCTCTTTGTCAAGACTAGGACTTGAAATGACATGTAGTCTCTACAAGGTTAGAGGCCACAATAAAAGATGTCCCAACAAAGACAACTTTGTTCACTTAGAGCCAGCAGCAAAGAGGGGAAGAGGCAAACTTAGGAAAGAAGGGTCTGCAGTAGGTAGTTGACCCCACCTATGCATCAGCTTCTTCTGCAAGTGTTTAACACCATTCCACCATTGCACAACCAAGTCAATTAGGCAGGGGTGGAAGGGTAATTTACAGTGGTAGGGGTGCTAGAGGTGGTGCTGTTAGGGGAACCAAAGGAGGAAGTGGGAGAGGCAGAGTAGAGGTCGGTGTGCTCTTCAGTGCTGATGGTACCCTAGTACTACAAGTAGGTTCATTTGCTTCAGTTCTGTGGTATCTGTTTTTTTAAGCTATCTGCTAAGTTACTTTTTTAAAATTCTGTTTCAGGCCCCCTTAACAAGGAACAGAGCAAGGAATCAAGAGCCACACATATCCACACAGTCAAGCCAAACCTCTACAGTGCATCAACAACATCCATGACACCTTGGGTTCAGATTCTGTAATTTTGTGACACTATGATTAGCACCAAGTATTTTGAACAATAATTTAGTGAATATTGCTTTGTCTTTTGAACAATGTAGCATGTGTAAGCTAAGTATTTTGAACAATCTTGCTTTATGACAACTCATATGCTTATGTCATGTAATTTTGCAGACACTATGATTAGCACTAAGCAATTAGTGTTGTATTATTATCAGCTTTCACATTTATATAGACAAGGCTTCTGTTAAGAAATCAGCTCTGATTGCATCTTATTATTGCAACTGCATAACATAACAACTACAAATACACTGCAAAAGATGAAAAAATCAAGTTACTAAATCTTAAAGGAATTCTTAAATTACAACTCCACCTACAATTTGAGATAAAACAACACTATAGCAAACAAAATCCAAGAAAAAACCAAAGCCATGGATAAATTCTTCTCATTCCTGGAACACTTCATCATCCTTACCCGCATCGCATACACTTCGTTCTTCATCTCTTGAACATCCTCTTCTAAGTTTTCCTTCTTCAACTGTAACCTCTTGATTTTATCATCTCTGCATTGTTGCTCATACTCTAACTCGCAAATTCTTGTTTCCTTCTCCAAAACATGATATTGAAGATCTTCCATGGGGTTGCTCTAATTAACCCACCTAAACATTTCACATTGAGTGTCCTACAGTGATAAAATTTTCAATTAGAAACCTGTCAAACTCAAATTAATCAACATCGAAAAAATTGAAAGCAAATTGTAATTGATTACAAACCGGCCATAAGGGACAGCCGTAAAACTTCATCCCACTGTTAGGACCCTTTTTTTACAGATCTCACCACCGCATAATTGCCACAACTGCAGCGAACTTTTTGGTTTTCCTCCCTCGCAAAGCTTGAACAAGAACCATTGTATGATTGCCTCTTCCCAACCATTTAATTGCAATTTTGATTTTACTTTGGGAGAGCACGTTTTCATGGAGAAAAATGCGAAGAACAAATACAGAGGGATAAATAAAAGAAGATTAGGGGAAGACGAAGACACGACAGCAGTTAACCTGCTGTAACCGGTTACAAATTTCTGAAACCTGTTTAAAGTGGAGTATCACTAAAGGTTGTATTATTCCGAAATAAACAAAAGGTGGACTTGTTTTTAGCGGACCGGATAAAGGTCGTATTATTTAAAGCAATTTTTCCTTTTTCTTTTGAGTATAATGTTGTGCGAATTTGATTTTTATGTGATTTTTAAAGTTTTGGAATCAATGTTATCTACTCAGTAGATCATTTTGGCATGGTAATAAATTTTGATTTGTCTAGAGTTTATTTTATTTATGGTTATGTTGAAAGGGAATAAAATTAGATTATGCACAACTTGATAAGGTGTTAAAATCTCATTAATTTGTGTACTTTTTAATTTGGTGGTGTTGGGTACAGATGGATCTATATAACAAATTAGTTTTGGACGAGGATAGATGGTTTTAATAATATGCGTATAAACAAGTACTCTTACATTTTCTAAAGAAAACCGCGTAAATTAATTAATATAAGACTTTAAATTGGACCTAATATACTGTCAAATAAATTTTGGACCTAATATAACATAGAATAAAATGAATTCAAAATTAAATTTAATATTCATAATTTTTGTCAGCTCATAATTTAGCGAGGCGTATTCAAAATAAGAGAAGACTAATCTGCCCATAAATTTTTTGATATTCAAAAGGTATCAAGTTTTGTTTGATTATGTTGTATTTTTAAAAGATTAAGTTACTCTATATGGTTCTGGCTAAGTCTCAATTAGTTTGTATGTAGAAGATTAATGTTTCATTATCGACCATCAGTTATATAAATATTATACTACGTAATAGAAGATTAATTCATCTACGAGTCTACGTTTTTCAGATTTTATTTTTCTTAGAATTTTAGTAGTGCATTTTATTCATCATCTGATATTTTATTGCACTTATCTTAACTTACTTATCCCCATCAAAATTTATTTGAACTCATTTTAATGCACTTATCCATTTTCCTAAGTTATCAAAAGACCACTATTGTTAGTAGCAGGTTTTAAGCTCGGATAATTTCAAAAATAGAAACTTTTACCAATCCTACGTGGTTAGTACAATGGAGAATATTTTGTAAATCAACACATAAAGGAATTAGTTTACGTTTTTAACATTTATTACCAAAATCACTCAATTAAGTTTTAATTCACGAGATATTTCACTTGAGTTATGATAATCCAGAGAAGATAAGCCCAACCGAAAATGTGTTGTCATAAAATTTTATGCGTGTAAATAGTTAATAAATGGTTATCCCAATTCGATACTACGTAACCAATAAGTTCAGTTACATTTAAACAATTATAATTAATTAATAGAAATCAAGGAATTATTACAAGATTTACCACTCTTGTAAACATGTGGAAGTACATGGGTTTATAAGAAAAAGAAAAAAAAGAAATAGAAAGGTTGCTTGTGCAGCAATTCTTCCAAAGTTTCTATAAATACTGCTCTAGTCTTTCTCAGTCTCATCATATTCTCTCATACTCAGATACTCAAACACACAATTCTTCTTCCTTTTTCTCCAAGTTTCTCAACTTTCCAAACACCTCCTTCTTCAATTGCAATGGCTTCGTCCAGGAAGATAATCCTCAAGAGTGCCGATAATAAGCTTTTCGAGATCGGCGGAAACGCAGCAATGCTGTCTCAAACCATCAAGAACTTGATCGAAGACATCGGCGAAAGCAACGATCCAATTCCGCTGCATAATGTGAGCTCAACAATTCTGTTAAAGATCATCCAGTACTGCAACAAACATGTTGAGGAAGAGAATAAGGCTGAGTCCGAAACACCGAATAATGATGATCTCAAGCAATGGGATGCTGACTTTCTCAAAGTTGACGAGAACATCCTCTTTGATCTCGTTCTTGTGAGTATTTATTTACTTTGATCTATTTTCTTGATTTTGGTTTATTTGTTATTCACGTCATTTTCGTTTATTATTTCAATTTCTTTTTCTTTCATTCGTTTGATTTTGTTTAGAGCTAATTTCATGATTAATTATTTTATTTGCAAGGGTTTAGGGTTTATGTGCGTTTTAATTGTTCAAGATTTGGGGTTCTGAAGTATGATTGTTTAGTCTAATATTATGATTAATTATTCTAATTGTTTAAGCGTTTAGTTTAGTGTTAACTTGGGTTTAATTATTTTGTGACTAGAGTTCTGAAGTATATTAATAATTCCTTGCTTCGTTGTAATTTTTTTGTTTATTTGGTTTTTTATTAATTTTTGGCCTTAAATTAGTTTTCAAGTTATAAGAAATATTCGGCTAAATTTTATGATTAAATCTGAAATTTAAGTAAGATTAGGTGTTTTAAGTAACATTATTAGAGTTTATCTTGTTAGCGATCGTAGAATCAAATATATGTGGAAATATGATTTTATGATGTATTGAATTATAATTTTTGATGTTATAATATTAGATTAATTTTTATGATGATCGACATATAATATTGAGTCCAAATTTTGTGCTTAGAGATGTCTGAGTTGTTTGTGAATAATGTAATGTGTTAGTTAACATATATACATATACGTGATCGATTGATATACATTTTCATGATCGATTTATAGATTAATTATGTGTACGTGGTGAATGCAGGCTGCTAATTACATGGAAATCAAGAGTTTGCTGGATTTAACTAGTCACCGTCCTGCTGACATGATCAAGGAAATGACACCTGAGGAGATAAGGATGAAATTCAACATTAAGAACGATTACACACCCGAAGATGAGGAAAAAGTTCGCAAGGAGAACCAGTGGGCTTTCGAGTAAACTCAAATAGCAATGGTCATTTACCAGTCCCAAACTGTGTTTCTGAATAGTTTAATTTCCCTGATGCATCTGTTTACTTAGTGCTGTAGTGTTGTTGTAGTGCTGTAGCACAAACTATGTTCACTGCTTTATCAGTTTATCGTATTTAGTTTCAATCATTTGAAGTTTATCATGATTTTGTGTGCAATTTATTCTATTTCTAATTAAGTTGGTAGTTGAGTTGGTAGCTGATTTGGGATCGATTTATCTTTTGAGCTGCATTAGGGGAGGTGCTTGGGAGGAGGAGAGTTAAGTTGGATTATGAGTAGGCTGGTTGTTATGCTTGTTAAAGCACTTGAAAGTGAGGGCTATAAGCCTGTACTCTGCATGTCATTCAGAAATAAGTCTGAGCTATTTGGCTTTCAACATACTATGACTGTACCTTTGTGGCTTTGTGCTCGATCTAGACTTGTATCCTACTTCGACAGTCATAGTAGGCTGAGACTGAGAGTATAGATCGTTTATTTTATTACCTTCTTCCACTCCGGCTTACAACAAATGGACTTCTCACTATGAATTTGTTGCTTCTCCATGTGATTGCCCCGAACAAATCTCCCTTAACAGAAGAATCAGAAGTGGAAAATGTAACCATGTATTCCAACTTCTTGGTAGCTGCTGTAAATCTTAGTTCAGTAGGACTCACATCTACCTCAAGTTCTGTAGGTGTTTTAACTGTTACAGTATAGACTGGATCATCATCAGTATCAACAGTAGTGACAGTCCTATTCACTGTAATAGGACCTATTGTGTCAATCATGGATATAGCTATCGATGGGTAGTTGATGTTTGATATCATGTCAGTGTTTGAAGATACAGGACAAGAAGATCATGGATAAGCTTTATGGTTGACATATTGTATCCATAATAACACAAAAAATTCAAGTATTCAGCTGGCTCGATGTCATAAATTAATCCTGGATGTAATCCTCCAATCGGGTTCACCTCCCCTGCTCTAAGATCGTATGGTGTGGCTGCCTCATCAAACGATTGTGTGGTAATTGGCCTATTTATATTATTGGTTTGAGTTGCTGCCAATGAAATCACCACTTTTTTAAGTATATAGTTTCCACTTTATTCCCTAGACAATTACATGGATATCAAGAGTTTGCTGGATTTAACTTGTCACTGTGTTGCTGATATGATCAAGGGAAAGACATGCACCCGAGCAGATAAAGAAGCACTTCAACATCAAGAATGATTTCACACCCGAAGAAGAGGAAGAAGTTCGCAGGGAGAACCAGTAGGCTTTCAAGTAAACTCAAATAGCAATTGACTAAACTGTTTAGAACAACGAACTTCATTTACCAGTCATCCCTCACACTGATATTGTGTTTGCCTCTCGTCTGTTCCTCCCTCACTACTACAGCTATTGTGCTCTCTTTCACTTTGAAATGCACTCACTGTTTCTACCCTCAATTGCTAGCTACTACATCTTGCTAGCTCCACTTTCTCACAATGTGTGCCGTCTCACACACACCCTTCTTCTAGCTAGCCTCACTTCCACGGTGGTGTGGCTTCTCACCCACACTCACACTTCTTCTTGCTAGCAAAACTACATTTTGCTAGCCTCTTTATATGGTTGTGTATCCTACCACGCACACACTTCAACACACACGGCACACCACATATATATACACATATATGTGCAAAGCTTCTTACATAAGCTTTCTAGCACATGCCATAATTGCAAGCCTCCAAAAGTCAATACCTATTGCCTACTCTACATAGACAAAGGCTGACAATTACATCTTCAAATCTTCCTACTCATAGAAGACTTCTTACAACTTAGACATAAAGTCTACAAATTCTAACCCCAACGTCAAACATGCATTCACCTTTTTTTTTCATTTTCCTTTTCTTTCTTACCACATTAATACTATTACTACAATAATTATATTACGTAATTAATTGTGATTTGGGGAGAATAACCCAACACACTTACCAGTTGTCATGATAGCATATCTTATAGCAGCAGGAGTCCAGGCAGGATTCTGAGATTTGATGTTGGCTGCAATGCCTATAACATGCGGACAAGCCATAGAGGTTCCAGAAATCACATTGAATAAAGAAGGTTCTCTTCCCTCAGGTGTGGTTTCATCTAATGTGTCATTAGCTTTCCACGCTGCAAGGATATTTACTCCTGGTGCTGCAATATCGGGCTGCCAAAAGAAAAGGTGAATATATATTACTAATCTGTTAGCATGCTATTTAAGCAGAAACAGCAAAAGGGACCTTACCTTGAGAATGTTTAATGTGGTTGATGAAGGACCTCTGGATGAGAAAAAGGCAACTGTTGGTGCTGGCTTAAATCTTTGGACAGTTTTTGTCGGTAAGATTGTTGCAACTGGATTTCTTGAACAAAAATATCATCAAATTAGCATGTAATGTAATAAACAGTACTGAACATGATCACTCTAGCATATTTGAGTTAGGGAAGAGAGTTAATTAGTTGTCTTACTTAGTCGCATTTATGTATGCAAGAATTTGGTTGCTATCCTTTGAAGTGATCACAGTCATTGGGAAGTCACCCGTTTTAATTGCAAATTATCGCATTAGATCACTGACAATTATCAACCCTACAGCACCACTTTTGTTAACTTTCTTTTGCTTCCAATACATACCATAATCACTGTTGTCTGCTTGCTGACAAAGGACAATTTTTCCTCTGATCTTCTCTGCATCAATTGAGTCTGGATAGCAATTCCTGGAAAATAAAAATCTATCAGTACAAATACGATGAATAGCAACTATTAAATAAGAAATATAGACTAATATTGTTGGAAGGTACAACAACAACAACAACAGAAATTCACCTTGCTTCATATTCACTTGCAGACTTATTCTTGGCAGATCCTCCAGATATTAGTGGGTATACTGGAGACTTTATAAGCTTTGAGAAGTTAATGGATCCACCCTGAAAAATCAAAGTAGACAGAAATCTGTATAACTTTGATTTACCTTATGGTACGAATTTTTTGTACAATCTTATGACGATGAAATAATAAATTGACATCCATCAAAAATATGAAATCAAACACTTGGTTTCACAAAATCATATACTAGGACAGGTGCATTTTATACATCTTGATTTTATGTAGTTTAAGTCACTAGTTAATGTGTTACCTTAATTCTTATGTTATTGCCTAAGACGATATCAGACTCAAAGTCACGATCAATGGTAGTAGCAGCAACAGTAATGATCCAAGGAGCTACATTTACAACAGATTGAGGAGAGGGGCCGCCGTTCCCTGCAGAGCAGACCACAGTGATCCCTTTTTGTACTGCGTGGAATGCACCAACAGCTATATAGCATCAGTGGTGAAATCATTTTCAAATGAAGATCCAGTTCCAATGGATAAGGACAGCAGATCAACACCATCTGCTATAGCATTATCAAATGCAGCCAAGATAGCAGATCCAAGGCATCCCTCCTCATTGGAGAACACACGATACATAGCTATGCGTGATGTAGGGGATCCTCCCCTTGCTGTCCCATTAGCTAATCCATAATATGAAGCATTGGCTACTGGAGCACCTGCTGCAGTTGATGCTACATGTGTACCATGGCCAAAATCATCTCTAGGTGAGTCCATTATCGATTTGCTGTAGTGTCTTGCTCCGATTAATTTTCTGCATAAATAATAAATATAATGATTATGAAAAGATTAAAGAGAAATACATGGTAAATGTGTCATTTCATAAAACAAGCTACGGAAAAAGAGACAAATCAGGTATATTTATTTTAGTACTAAACATACTTGTTACAATTTGATGAATTGAAGTTTTTTCCCTCCATACATTTCCCTCTCCATCTCCGTGGTATTGGGCCCATGCCTTTGTCACTAAAGCTCTCAGATTCTGGCCAGATACCTATAGAGTAATGATATTGGATTATGTACTCTATCATGTAAAGTTTGACAAATTATGCAGTCTTTTTATTGAAAATTTACCTGTATCTAAAATACCAATAATAGTATCTGATCCTTTAGTGGGTGACACTACAGCAGTAGAGTCTGATTGGGAGGCAGTCCATGGGAGAGTTCCGTAATGTAAGAAATCCCATGAACGCGTTGTATGAAGTTGTAGCAGGGGATCTGGAAACACTGACACTACTCCAGGTTGTTTGGACAGTTGAAGTGCTTCTGACTCTGATAATTGTGCAGCAAATCGTGAGAACCCGTGCTTGTAGGTATGTATTATTGAACTCTTATTCCTGCAACACAAAAAGAACAATTTAACAGTAAAAATTAATCACTTAAATGAAGAAAATTAACAGCAGATTGCACACCTGCTTATCAAAGAGCTAAGAAGCGTATCATAGCTATTCTTGTTAGCTCCCATGTACACGATATAAACATTGTCATTAGATAATGCTGAGTTAGCCTCACTGGTTCCGTTATGTGACAAAATGAAGAGAACAAAGTAGTAAAACAGGATGGAATAAGAGGTTTTCATGATTGACTATGTTTTTTAGTAGATTATATTTGCACTCCTTTAATGCAGGTAAAGCAGCTTATTTATAGTGTTTAGTGGCAGTAAGGTAATGCACGTAATATACCATATGTAAGAAGGGCAAACGTGTAAACAGTATAATACAACCTGGCTCTCAGTATGAATCTAGATTGTGACATTATACTTACCTTCATGCCATATATACACGGTGAACATGGGTTGTGGTGGTGATAAGAAATTCATTAAGGTAAAATTTGAAGATATAGTAAATCTTATTGTATATTTCTGCTATGATAATTTATACAAGGAATAACGTAAGAGAAATTTGTGCTCTCAGTATAAACTTAGATTGTGACATTATACTTTCCTTCATGCTATAGATACATGGTGAAAACACGGGTAGTGTTGGTGGACTGGTGGGAGGATAAGGTAAAATTTTATGATATAGTAATTTTTATTGTATATATCTGCTATATTTATTTATAGAAGGAATTATGTATAAGAAAATCGTAAGTATGCGTACATATATAAAAGTAACAGACAAAAGCAACATGCTAAGTGGATGGAGTCCTTGTTTGAAATTAGTATTGCTGTAGGAAGGGAGATACTATTTATGATTTGAAGGGTGTGTGTACATGGTATGTCTGTTGCTAGAGGTGGCCAGTGGGCCGGGTT